ATGTGTTGTGTGTAGAGGAGCTCATTCTCTCCTGCAGTAGACCGTTTTGACCTCAGGATTGACACGTGTTTAGATCACATGACCTGCTGAATGTTGTCCGTTCACTTTTAAATGAATTAAATTCACTTGAAATGGACGTTTTGCTGAACATGCCACATGATGATTATGTTCCTCATATTTAATGATCTCTAAGGCTGGAGAGACACTACATGACCTCTGACATGTGAACAAACTCTAGACATCACAGCGACAGGCTCAAAATATAATATGAGAGTCTGAAGCTGAAAACTCTCAGTGTGTGTCCATCAGACACTATGTGATTACTATGGTCTGATTTTCAGCAGCTAGCGTCGACCGGTCCGGACTGTATATCCAGCCGTCAGTCGTTGATGTTCTGTGTGTCTGTGGAGTCTCGTCTTGTCCTGTCTCTGACAGAACTCACACTGACAGCACATGATCACGTCTCCATGTTACCTGCTGCTGATGTGTGGTGTGTTTGTGCTGGTCCTCAGGGCGCGGTGTGGACTCCGTTACTCTGGGTTATAGGCTGCAGGACCTCACGGATGTCCAGGTGATGGCCCGACTGCAGGAGGAGAGTGAGTGTGAGATCCAGACCCAGATCCCTCACAAAACACGTCAGGAACACGCCACAGATTCAACAGGAATGAGATGCATACAGAAAATTAGACCAGTAAACACAGTGATTCATTTTAAAAATAGTTTAATGATAAAATAGGATTTAAATGTTATGCATACAAAATATTATGCATGATTTAAATATTATATAAGAACCTTTGACATCCATGGAACTGAAGGCTAGTGACAAAAACGTTCTTTATTTTTCAATTATTAAAATGTTCTTCACATCGAGAAAACATGGTTCTTTTAGGAACTGATCACTGAAAGGTTCTTTGGGGAAACCATAAATGGTTCTTCAAAAATCCATTAGCTGTGTTTCCAACCACCTATTTTTATGCAAATTGTGAGATATTGCATTAAAATACACGAGATGGAGATGCCAACATGTGCATCAATTCTAAATATGTGTATAAAAAATATATGTGCTCAAATGAGTCTTTCATTTCTCATTTTTATATTTTGCGCCAGCTTCCCAGAAAGTCACGATTTTGTTCTTTTGAAAACACGTGGGATGCGAATGTGCTTTATTCGCAAATGTTTTTCTAATTTTGCACATAAGTTAAATTCACAACTTTGAATGGCAACATACTGTAGCTACAATTGTTTTATTTTAATAAAAAACGGACAGAATGAAGTGCATGGCTGTAATACAGTAAAGAAAATGTATGAAAAATGTGCAAAAGATCCTAAAATGTTAATCTTAATTTAAATCATTAAATCTTATTTTAATGATCTTATTTTGTCAGGATGTGTGAGTGGAAGCATGTTCTATCACTTTAAACCACCAGAGAGTGTAAAAAGCATGTGCATGTAGAATATTAATACCAGTAATTCATCTATCTGTATGATTATGTTGTATTGTTTGTGATGTTCACCCTAAAACCACAAGACTGACATAAGAAATCACATTTCCAGAACTGTATTTCATGCTGAAATGTGACGTGTGTGTTTCTCCGTCAGGTTTGCGTCAGGACTATGCCTCCTCCTCGTCTGTGAACCGTCGCAGCGCCAGCTTCTCCTTCCAGCGCAGTGATTCGCACCTGGACGAAGACGAGGAGGAGGATGATGAAGATTACGGTCAGTTACCGCCGCCACAGCCGCGTCTGAGTCGAGCCGGACCACTGCCGCATTCACACACCTTCAGCAGCATCAGGGACTGGACGCAGACGCAGACGCAGACGCAGACGCACTGCAGAGACACGCAGCCCGGCCTCAGCTGCAGCTCAGGTCAGATCACGTGTGATTAGACTCATTAACTAAAGCAGAGACCAGAGTTCAGGACAGACTGTGGGTCAGTGTGAAGGAAATGATGCGTCAGAGACAAAGAAACCACATCACCATTGCAGCTCAGTATGCAAATGAATGCAAAAACCACCAATCACAGTCCAGTGTCACAAATGATGTCAGGAGACTTTTTAAGAATAATTTTCAGCCATGCATTCTAATGATATACACTACTGTTCAGAAATTTGGGGTCAGTAAGATTTTTTAAGAAATTGATGCTTTTATTCATCAAGGCTGCATTACATTGATCAAAAGTGACAGCATTTATAATGTTACAGTAAATTTCTATTTCAAATAAATGCTGTTCTTTTGAACTTTCTATTCATCTGTGAATCCTGAAAAATAAAATGTATCACAGTTTCCACAAAAATATTAATGTTTTCAACATTGATAATAATCAGAAATGTTTCTAATAATCAGCATATTAGAATGATTTCTGAAGATCATGTGACATTGAAGACTGGAGTAATGATGCTGAAAATACAGAAATATCACAGAAATAAATTACAGTTTAACAGATATTCACATAGAAAACATTATAATAATATTTCACTGTTTTGACTGTATTTTGGATCAAATAAATGCAGCTGTGGTGAGCAGAAGATACTTCTTTCAGAAACATTCAAAAATCTGTCCGACCCCAAACTTTTGAACGGTGATGTAAGTCAATGGGAGATTTATAGTGGGACATTCATAATCATATTCTTTGTGAATGTGAATGCTGAGGCTGTGCTGATCTGGAGCTGATGGTTGTTGAAGGTGTTAGTGCTGTTTTTACCCATAAACCCCAGACTGATCTGAGCGCTGATCTCTATTAAAGCTGATGTGTCTGTGTGTGTCTGTGTGTGTCTGTGTGTGTGTGTGTGTGTGTGTGAGTGTGTCTGTGTCTGTGTCTGTGTCTGTGTCTGAGTGAGTGTGTGTGTATGTATGTGTGTGTGTGTGTGTATGTCTGTGTGTGTCTGTCTGTGTGTGTGTGTGTGAGGGAGAGAGTGTGTGTGTGTGAGTGAGTGTGAGTGAGTGTGTGTGAGAGAGTGTGTGAGAGAGTGTGTGAGAGTGTGTGTGAGAGAGTGTGTGAGA